TCCTTTGCAACAGTTTTCATTCGAGGTCATTCAATATTTGCCAACATCCCTTTGTAACATTTGCCATTCAAGAGCATTCAATATTTGCCAACATTCCTTTGTAATATTTGCCATTCAAGATCATTCAATATTTGCCAACATTCCTTTGTAACATTTGCCATTATAGATATTCAATATTTGCCAAAATTCCCTTGTAATATTTGCCATTCAAGATTATTCAATATTTAGCAACATTCCTTTGCAACACTGCCTAACATTCCTTACTGCCATTCAAGATCATTCAATATTTACCAACATTCCTTTGCAACATTTTTCATTCGAGGTCATTCAATATTTGCCAACATTCCTTTGTAACTTTTGCCATTCAAGAGCATTCAATATTTGCCAACACTTCTTTGTAATATTTGCCATTCAAGATCATTCAATATTTACCAACATTCCTTTGCAACATTTTTCATTCGAGGTCATTCAATATTTGCCAACATTCCTTTGTAACATTTGCCATTCATGAGCATTCAATATTTGCCAACATTCCCTTGTAATATTTGCCACTCAAGATCATTCAATATTTGCCAACATTCCTTTGTAACATTTGTCATTCAAGACCATTCAATATTTGTAACCAACACTCCTTTGTAATATTTGCCATTCAAGATCATTCAATATTTACCAACAATCCTTCGCAACACTGCCCAACATTCCTTTCTGCCATTCAAGATCATTCAATATTTACCAACATTCCTTTGCAACATTTTTCATTCGAGGTCATTCAATATTTGCCAACATTCCTTTGTAACATTTGTCATTCAAGAGCATTCAATATTTGCCAACATTCCCTTGCAACATTTTTCATTCGAGGTCATTCAATATTTGCCAACATTCCTTTGTAACATTTGTCATTCAAGAGCATTCAATATTTGCCAACATTCCCTTGTAATATTTGCCACTCAAGATCATTCAATATTTGCCAGCATTCCTTTGTAATATTTGCCATTCAAGATCATTCAATATTTACCAACATTCCTTTGTAAATATTTGTCATTCAAGACCATTCAATATTTGCCAACACTCCTTTGTAATATTTGCCATTCAAGATCATTCAATATTTACCAACATTCCTTTGCAACATTTTTCATTCAAGGTCATTCAATATTTGCCAACATTCCTTTGTAACATTTGCCATTCAAGCGCATTCAATATTTGCCAACATTCCTTTGTAACACTTGGAATTCAAGATGCCATTCATGAACATTTTTTCAAGAATATTTGCACATGGAAAAAGATAAGTGTGAAAATATCGGAGCTTTTAGAATCAAAGCAGAAGAATGTTGCTCGTTCCTAATCAAAATCTTGAGCATGACAAGTCTGGACATGTGACAACAGATTTGAATCTCCATCATGAAACAGTTGGAATTAAGTGCAGACTTTTTTTCAGGTATTTAATTAGATTGAGATTTAAAGGAATTACAGGAATTGACACTAAACATTAAGATGGTAACAACTGATTTGATAAACTGCACGTTGAAAATTTAATTTTAGATGTTTTTAACATTGGAAATTTACTTTCTGATAGAAGTTGTCATCTATAATAGACAAATTAGACCTACGAAGTGCTGAGAGTTAAGGAGTCGAGCACATCTCAGCCTCGATGTTTTTTTAATTACGTTCTCATTCAAGCGAATCGAGATCGCTTAATCTGAACTCTGGTGTTTTTTTGCATAAGGATGAATTTATAATTCTTTTATGAAATATGATAATTATCTTATGAAAGTAGCATAGCCCTTTTAATTTCAGTTAATCTTTTTAGCTAAAATTAAAGGGGAAAAAACGGCACAAAATCTGAAAGCTTTCAGATTTTTTTCCAGATTTTATATTACGCCCAAAAAGGCGTTTTTTTTTAACGTTTTGTCCGTTACCTTTGTATATTTAATATCATGTACTTCGTACTTAAAACATAAAATTCAACTCAACAGCAATATACCGAAATATTTAAAAACAGCATATCTTTAGAATTTCCGATACACAATCTTGCGCGTTGGAGATAAAAATGTTTTTTTCCGTACAGTGTTGCCATTGCTCGCTTTGAAATCGTTGAGTTTGTTAATCAAAAATTCATTAAAGTTTTGCGAAATATTAAACAGATAATAAAACAAATTCGAAATTCAAAATTCCAAGTGTCCATATTCGATTGGAGGACGACGTTATTCAATATTTGATGGCTCTAGGTACCGTTATTTTTTCCTAATACGAGAAGCATTCGTGCAGATTCTTCATTGTTTAGATTTTTTAAATATAATACATGCCGATAATATTTGGTGGTAACAGTTTGAAAAGTGAATCGACGCAAAATGCTGTTTTGAAGTTAACTGCTCTTCTGGGATATAACGCGTTTTGCGCTAAAAAGTAGATCCTGGGCTAAAATGAAGAAAGAATTAAAAATATTTCAACACAACGAAGGGGAAAAGTCAGATCATAGAAGAAATAAGAAAGACTGAGAAAATATGCTAAATAAACAGCAAGTAGCGAATAAAGAATCGAGCAGTAACTCATAAGCAAGAAGCATGAACGAAAAGTAATTTAAATGCTGGTAATATTTCTCATGATTTCTCTTTCATAATGTATAAGAACTGAAATAATAAATTTTCTTTGCCTTTGACAATGAATCTTGTTGTCTGCAGCGTACGTTTGAGTTTCTGATGATCAATACTTCTCAATACTGGATTTCTTTACTATGAAGAAATATATATTCTTAGCATAGTGGAATCTTGGCTTGCGAATGCCTCCGTTAACGAACTAATCGGTTCACAAACAAATTATCGAAATGAAAAACGTCTTGAACAACGAGCGATGATACGATAAGTAAGCCGATAATTAATGATAATCCAAAATACGCTTAATGCAGTGAAGGAAATCTGTAAGTTATCTGATCTGCGAATGTTGTGTAAAATAGGATAACGTGCGAAGATTCAAAGATTATTATCGTCTTGATAAGGCTAAAAAACCACAGCATAAATATGTGTAATGGCAATGGCATGTATTGCTTTAGAAAACATTTTAAAACATTGACAGAAACAAATGACAGCGGATACACTTTTAATGAGACAAAGGTTTGTCAGGACTTGTGTTTCTCTTGATTTGCTTTGGAAACATGGAATGCCCTGAATAAGAACAGGGAGCTTACTCAAGCTATGTTCAAGATTTGTGTATAACAGGCGACACAAGCAGGAAGGGTATACGAAACCCTTTATTTTCAATACTTTACAGGCACTTCGGAATACAGAGACCAACCACCTGTGGTCTGAACGTAAGAATATAAAACTACTAACTAAAACTCTAACTAAAAAGGTAACTTTGAATTAGTATACAAATGCCTAACACTAAGACTGGCTTTTACGTAAAAAGGGTACGTATGTAGTACGCCGAGCTGCTGAAATTACAATACGTTTGCAAATATCAAGAGGGCTGTGACAAACTCTTTCAAACATTCTTCATCATTTTCTACTTAATGACGTCAAATATTTTCATAGGCATCCGAGAAAATTTAGTTCAAGTTTTCCTATTTTTTTCTTCCTTCACGAAGTAAAAAAAATATTGTAACCAACTGTCGCGTATCATATTTCAACGGAAATATCCATTTTGACTGCACCTGAAATCCTGTTTTCCAAAACGGATTGTAAAATGGATTTAAAATGGATTCAGAAGAGCTTTTCGTGACGTCTATACGTTTGTATGTATCTCGCATAACTCACAAATGAGTAGCCTCAGAGAGCTCCAAGTTTCTACATGGGACTGCTATAACATGTAATTGTGCACCTTCCCTTTTGGTTGGAATCGGCCTCACCAAAAGTATGTAAATATATATATATATATATACCCACTTTGCTATCCCACCGGGTAAGCTCAGTATTTATCTTCTTATGAGTTGGTAAATTGTGCACTTTTTGCTTAAAAAAGTGATTGAATTATATTGTTTTTATGTTCCGGTTAAGGATTTTATGCCTTTACTTAATCTGCATGCAATAGTTGTAAAGTTATCAGCAATTTAAAAGTCTAAGGCGCTTCTAAGCCTAGCAAAGCCTCCTTTTGTTTGCATTTGAACATCTTAGTAGAATAAGGAATTAAGTCAGTTTCTGCACCAACTTCAGGATCTTTTTGCCGAGTGGGAGCAAAAGTAAACTTTCAGTTTTGTGCGCCGAAAAATCTATCTTCCCGCCCGCCGGACGAATTGCTTGTTGATGCATACAAACTCTAATTTTAATTGTAAAAATTGTTTTATAACTGTATTTGGTGTTTTATAATTTTATGTATTTTACAATTTTTAATAAAGATGTTTCGAGTTTTATGTATTTTTTGCCTTGACGCGAAGCGAGAACTGAATTAAATGAATGAGATATATATCTTTAATGAAATTCGAGGAAATAAGTTTTAATGATAAGCAGCAATAAAATGTGTATAATTTAATAGGCCGTACAAAGCGGTCACGTGGTGCCTACAACAAATTCTTATGTAGTTAGTACTTTGTTACATACTGCGTGTACGATTCGTGCATTTGTTAAGTTTAAAGAATTTCAATGGTTTCGCATTACGAACTTAACACACATCTTTTCCAAACAATGAGTTTGCATCTGAGAACAGATTAATTAATTTTACATTAGCATTTGAGAAAAAAAATGTTTCGGTTTAGGAATATTTCGATTGATAATTTATCATCAGGGATGAATTATGTTTTTGTTTCCAAGGTTTCACTGCATGTCATTCTTGTTACAAAATTTCGGGCCTTGGCAACAGTAAGTGTTGCTAGGCGACCGCAGAAGATTCCTATAGTAAGTTTGATATTTTTAACCATAACGTTTTTCGATTTTCGCGTGATTTGTGTTGTTTGCAGTAAACTGAAAACTTTACCTCGTGCAAAAAATGGAATGGACTTGTGAACATTTCCGTGCAATTACTTTTCATAACTTTCAACGTGGATTATCAAGACAAGAATGCTTTAATGTATAATGAATCAAGTTCATGGTGAGGAACTTGATTCATTATACAGCGATAAAGCACCACCCTACGGCGCTGTAAAAGACTGGCATAACGAATTCAATTGTGGTAGACGTTCACTCCAGGACGAATCCAGTGAAGTTAGTCCAAAATCGGTTGTTGTGACAGAAAACATCGATGCTGTGAGTGAACTGATAAAGCAAGATAGTCATGTGACATACCTTGAGATTGAGGCACCTTCTGGTATTAGTATGACAAGTATCAATAAGTTATTTCATGAAAATTTGTCAGTAAAAATGATTTGTTCACGTTGGATCCCCCATAATCTGACAAACGTTGAAAAGAACGGTCGTACCGATTGGTGCAAGGAAATATTGGGAAATACATTCAAGGTGCATCAAAGGCTGTTTAAAACATCTACATAGATGACGAATCATGGATCTGTGCATATGAACCGGAAACAAAATGGCAGTAGACTGTATAGGTCTTCCAAGAACAACCAAACTCAGCAAAAGTTGCTCTCGGGAGAAGAAAATCGAAGTAAATGGTTGCTTGTTTCTTCAGCATTACCGGTCACGTAACAAAAATGGCGCTAGAGCTATGCAAGACGGTTAATTCCGAATGGTACACAACATTTGCTTGCCAGGAGTCATCGCAGGAAATTCGAAAATAGCAGAAGAAGAGGCGAAACATTCTTCATAATGACAATGCGAGCTCTCAGACATCGGCTTAAACAAAGGATTGTTTGACGGGCCAAAAAATCGAATTGATGGGTCATCCACCGTATAGCCACCTGATTTGGCACCCAATGACTCTTTTTTATTCCCGCACATCAAAAATAAATTATGTGGTCAGCAATTTGCGATACCCGAAGAACCGTTGATGCATTCAAAAAGCATGTTTTGGAGTTAACTCAATCGGAGTTGATAAAGTGCTTCGAAAATTGGTTCAAACGGATACAAAAGTGTATTTTCATTCATGAAGAATAATGTGAAAAACAATAAAAACAATTTAGATCAGAAACATTTGTTTTCTCATTATTAGGGCAGAAATATTAATCCTTAGCGCTCCGCACGTTTTAGTACCACTGCCTACCAACAACTCCGGCACATTTTCGCAGGATCCGGTGTTTCGCAGGATCCGGTGTATGCAACATCCAGAATATCTGCATAAATCTCTTTCTTGTAAATATTTTACCAAAGAAAGGGATGTGACTATTCTCCTTAACTGACCAATAATCCTACATATTCGCCAGGGGTATCGTACCCATATTGATAATAACATCAATAAAAGCCCAAAACTCATCCTCTTCCACCGCACCCCACGTTTTCCAAATAGAATTAATTGATATTTCTTTATTCATTTTCTGCGTAATTGCTGGTTTCTTTTATAATTTCATTTACCAGTTCGTTTGTAAAAAATAATTTGAAATATCGTGTGGGCCGTACAATATTTGTAGGAATTTGTGGTCCAATGACCTTTGGCGATACACTAAAATGTGTTCTATCCGGAATATCTAATTCTTGATTATTATCATCGTGCCATTCATCTAAGTCTTCCGGCGACTCTTCGCTTTCACTTTCAATAACTACCGTTCGTCGTCTCTTTGGCAATATAATTTTAGAACCACAACTTGAAGTGTCAGAATTATAATCAACATTATCTTCCACAATATCTTCTAACAATGAAAAATCAAACACATCTTCACTATCCCTCAACCAGTGGCGTAGCTAGGATTCCAGCGCCATGGGACAACTGAAGAATTTGCGCTCCTTTTTGTGTGCAAAGAATGGAAAACATTTCATTAAAAAATTTCGTAGCATCAGTTTGGCGCCGCCTCCGGGGACACATGTCCCCCCTTGCCCCACTCTAGTTACGCTACTGCCCTCAACTCTATATTCTCATCACAATAATTATTTTTCTCCATGTTGCTAACCATAAAATGGGTCAAATAATGTTTCAATCGTAACAGTAGCGAGACTGAGCACGTTTTAACTACAGATAACAATTGCCAACGCCGACGATTCCGTAACATATTAAGCCTAATCATGCTAAAAACATTTGGCTCCGCAGTGGAGCCTACGGAGTTACGGAACAAATGACGGACGACTCCGTAGCGGAGCCAACGGAGCTCTAAGGGTTAATAGCAACCCTCGTAAGTACCTCCTATTTAGAGGATAGATCACTGATCTAACACAACAATGGGTTATCAAATGATGACACTTTTTATATTGAAATAGCATTCTATGTATCTGAAATATAACAATTAGATTTGAAAGCGGAGTTACGGAACAAATGACGGACGGCTCCGTAGCGGAGCCAACGGAGCTCTAAGGGTTAATAGCAACCCTCGTAAGTACCTTCTATTTAGAGGATAGATCACTGATCTAACAAAACAATGGGTTATCAAATGATGACACTTTTTATATTGAAATAGCATTCTATGTATCTGAAATATAACAATTAGATTTGAAAAGCGTGTCTTTTTTTGACTCTTCCTATAAACAGAATTGAAGTTTATACAAACTCTTAATTGTTTTGGAAGAATTAATATTGTTGCAGATTCCTTAATTATTTTCTTAGAAATTTAGCTTTCTGCATAATACCATTCGAGAATTATTATTCTGAAATTTACTATTGCGACCGAAAGGCGAATAAACGCATGACTAACGCTTTAAAGGCTTTATGAAACAGTCTGCTGCCATGATAATGTCAAAAAGTTTTGAATATGGAAACTTTCGGGTTCCGTTTTTTAAGTAAAGCTCTTATATTTAATAACTTGTTAAATTTAAGTAATTGCTGATGGGTTTCCATCCTGCTTCTGATCAGGTTGCTGCTGTTGGACTTAGCAAATTCATCACTGAGATAAGGTATCAAGGAGGTAAACGCCTGAATTGGCGATTATTTTATGAAAATATATCTTTGTGACAAATTTTTATCAAAAAATTCTGATGTGAACACAACATGACTTCCATGCACGGCCTATTAAATTATACACATTTTTTGATGCACTTCATTTAAATATATTTCTTAGAATTTCATTAGAGATGTATTTCTTATTCAATCAATTCAGTTCTCACTTCGCGGCAGTGTATAAAAACCTAAGACAACAATTAAGTTAAATTTAGAGTTTCTGCGCGAAAACAAGCAATTCGTCCAGCGAGCAGAAAGGCAAAAATTTCGGTGCACAAAACTGAAAGTTAACTTTTGATCCCATTCGGAAAAATAGCACTGAAGTTGGTGGACCAACCGACTTAATTCACTGTTCTTCGAAAAGTTTCAAACATAAATAAATGGCGGCTCATTAGGCTTAACTTGCCACTTGAACTTAACTTTTTGATATTTCTACAATTATTCCATGAAGATTAACTAAGGGCATAAAAACCACAAAATGCAATCAACGAAACGGAAAACGAAACATAAAAAGAACATAATGCAATCAATTTTAAAGCAAAAAATGCGCAATTTTCTAACGTATAAGAATAAAAAATTATGTTGTCCAAACCGGGAAGCAGAGTAGGAATATATATACATATATGTAAGATTTTTGAGACATAGTCGTGATAGCAGAGCTCCAAGACAGGACAAAGGTATTGATACCAAACCCAGTTCAGCTAATTACCATCTTAATTTCAAGGCACATTAGGATAGTTCTTTGTAGATAATACTTTTTATCATAAAAATTACAATAATTTCTTATATACACAGATTAAAGGGGCGATATCATTTTAGACGGGCAAGCAAAGCAGACTGGATCTTGGCGTGGTGGAAGCTAGAAGATGATGACGCAGTTTATTTACGAGCGGCATTTATACTAAGTTCATGCAGAAAGTACTGTAAGCTATGATTGGTTAATTTGAAGTTGTTATATAATTATGAAAGGATCTCGAATCAGGGAGAATTAGAGGAAGAGCACCAAATCTAGAATATTAATTTTGAGGTCGTCAATTATTTTTAAAGCAGCCATCGTATTTTTTTATATCTTACATATTATACATATATATTTATTTATATATATTCAGTGCGGCCAATTGCAACGAAAAAAGTAGTTGTGCAACTGAATGCTAACGTTCTACTGCTACCCGCTTTTGAGTGACGCGAGATATATACATACGTACGCACGTGCTTACGAACGTCAAAAAAATTATCTCTACTGAATCCATTTTAAATCTACTTTACAATCTTGTTTTTGCAAAACAGTCCTTTATTCTGTCCGTACGTACAAATATCACTCAAAAACATCGTGCAAATGGGTTCGAGAAGGATCGAAAAGAGATATTTTCGTTGAAATAATGATACCCGAAATTTTTGGGAATACAATACTTCCTTCACTTCGCGCAAGTAAAAATGTTGAAACTCAATCAGAAATAAGGAGAGTTTTCTAACGCTTTTGTATTGAGATATTTAATTCAGTGTCATGTTACGATGCATCTGTTTTTAGGTGATAAGAAGGTTACATCTTTTTCAAGGTGTGAAAAAGGAAGGCAGTTTAAAGTTCTTGTAGTGGACTTCCGTGATAACACAGGATATAGTTCGACCGCCTCATCCGCGACCATAAGCGCAAACACGCATGCACCATTCGGACCGAATTATTCTCAAAATAGGGTGGAAGGATGGAGACTTTCTTTCCCTCCAGCATAGCTTTTTCCGAAGAAGAGAAGACCTTTCACGTCGCAGCAAGTAATACCGCCCCTTTTGGACGAGTCTATGTGTTTTGGCAGAATGCCAACCAGGGCTGCGCTTCAGACGGTCGAACTATAAAAGAATTCTTAATATCAAAGTGAAAAGGGAAACGACTGGCTTTCTATCGTAAAATTTATGAAAACTCTTTTTTTATCGTCTGAAGGTTACTGTGTTCGAAAAAGGACAAATCCTGAAGAAAGGTTTTTAATACTTTTATCAATAATTAAGCTTTTATTCTGATATCCTATCTATACTTGTTCATTTTACGTGTTGTTATTGTTGTTTATTACCCTCTTGACCTAAATTTATCAGATCAGATCCAGGAATTCATCATGGCCAAGACGAAGAAAAGGATTATTGTTGGCCAATGGCCGCTTTAATAAAAAATAGGATTATTCTTGTCAAGCTCCATCGCAGTGTTAATCGAAAATACCACGAAAGGTGGGGAGCTAGAATCGAAGAATTTCTTACCTCTCGTCTTTACCTATAACATCTCGAAGGAGTTGACCGTTCGACGGATTCCAATTTACCCTTACCGCAAAGAGACTATACATTTTCACACATAAATGCTTTCTCAGAGATTCAGAGCCACGTCTACGATATAGCAGCAAGATCTGCTAATCACCGTACCTATTAAGGCGACATTCCACTTGTTTATTTTTCAAACAAATGTGTAAGTGAAGCATTACAGAGTGTTTCAAAAATTGCGTTATTCAAACTTTCAAAAATTGTGGAAATTTCA